GGCATGTGGTGCTGGAGGATTGAACCGCGGTCCCTGTGCTTTGCCAAGCTTGTTTCAAGTAGGTGCTTTAGACCACTGAGCCATCTCTCCAGCCCCTCCAATTTCTTTTTCTTTCTTTCTTTCTTTCATGTTGAGACAAGGTCCTGCTATGTAGTTCAGGCTGGCCTTGAACTCACAGCAGTCCTGCCTCAACTTCCCCAGTGCAGGGATTACAAGCATACACCACCATGCCCACTTCAATTTCGTTTTTGTAGAAAGAAAAAGTAAATACTGAAATACTCTGATGCTTCATCTTTAGCATTTAAGAGATCGACTGCATTTTTTTTTCTGTAATAAACTTAAAGATACTACCCGTTTGATCAGATTTATTGTTTAGCAACTGATAAGTATTTTTAATGTTTAATAATTATATTTCATCTGTTTGTGATTATCTAACTTTCTCACGGAGAAAAAGAAACCCAGGCGTAAGAACACCTCCTGGGCCCTCAGCGTAGCTTGGTTTTTACAGATGTTTGAGGGTGACAAAGCAGGCAGAGAGAGAGCACCAAGTGACCGGTCACGGGTTGTGATCTTTGACCCACTGCTCAATCCAGCCCAAGATCTGGCTTATGTTCTCCTCTAGCTCCTCAGGTGTATTGCTGGGCAGCTGGTGCACAATGTCCTCCCTGTATGACAACATGGCCTCTTCATAGAGAACTTGAAAAATCTCACACTCGATATTGTCTCTTAGTTTCTTCTCATTATAACCCCTAGAAGGTAAAGAGAGGTTAAGCAAACAAAAACCCCAAACTACATGGTATTAACTATAGTTTTAGGTTTTAGAAACATATCATAGACTGGACCATTTATTTATGTAGCAGTACTGGGGACTGAACCCAGGGCCTCTGCAATAAGCTGTATCCCCAACTATTATTTTTTAGACAGACACAGTCTCACTAACTCGCTAAATTGCCCGGACTGGGCTCAAACTTTGGATCTCCTATCCCAGCCTCCCAGATTGCTGGGCTTATAAGTGTGCGCCACGATGCCCAGCTCACTTTTTGGAACACATGAAAAATCACTCCATGCCAGGAATGCTGGTGTACACCTGTAATCTTAGCATTCAGGAGGCTGCTGTGAATTCTAGGCCAGCCTGGACTGCACAGTGAGACCATGTCTCAATTAAAAGAAAAAAGAAAAATCACACCAAAATATTTCTCACCATCTCTTTACCTAGACAAAACAAGCTAGTACCCATAAATATAAACTTCTTTCACAAAAGGCTAAACTAAGAATTACAAACTAAAAGTTAGGTTTGTCTGAAGCCTTTGTGCAGTTGTTAAAGACTCAATCACCTGTTATAAAACTGGTACCTACCTACCTCAGGTCAGATTCTCAACTATGACACGAAGGACTAGAACAATGGTTCTAAACCAGGTGTGGTGGCACACGCCTGCAATCCCAGCACTCCATCGAGGAGACTGATGCAAGGCCAACCGGGGCTACATAGATAGTTGAGGGGCAGGCTGAACTATACAGCAGACCCTGTCTTTTTGTTTTGATGTATTTAGTACAGGGTCTATAGGGTCTCACTGCACAGATCCGGACTCAGTGATCTTCCTGTTTTCAGCCTCCCAAGTGCTGGGATTATAGGTGCACCACTACACCTAGTCTCAATCCTGGCTCAGCTCCTCACCTTGCCCTGGGGGTGGGGGTGGGGATGGGCAAGGAGGATGAAGGGGATCAAAGAATCAAACCCTAGTCCTAAACAGGGCGCTTTAATCTGCTGAGCTACCTGGCTGGCCCTCAAGACTGTGTCTTAAAATGTCAAAAATAAATAAAAGTTCTACATTATAAATAGTGATTATAGATTAAAGAACTAAGATAAAATATGTGGGATACATAAAATAAATTATATACGATAAATTAACTTTTGTAATCTTTAGACAAGTATATAAATTTGTTAAGTAACTAGTTAAAAATTTATTATTATTATTATTTTTTTTGCGGAACCGGGGATTGAACTCAGGCCCTTGCGCTTGCCAGAGAAGTGCTTATTCCACTGAGCCATCTCCCTGGCCCACTAGTTAAAAATTTAAATCTAAGCCTGGGTAATTTAGCAGCATACTATGAGCCTGTCTGAAGAAAACAAAAAAAAAAAACACTTCCCACAAATTGATTAAACTTTGTAACAATCAACAGTTAGTTGCACAGCGCTAGCTTCTACAACTTGCCTGAGACCCTGGATTCATGTTTCAGCACCAGGGCCGGGAAGACAGCTCAGTAGGGCCTGAGTTCAATCCCCAGTACCGCCAAATTAAATAAATAAATAAATAAATAACCCTGAAGCTTCAGCACCACATAAAAAAAAAAAAAAAAAAAAAAAAAAAAATCCAGAAAAATGGGTAAAGGATCCGTACACATTATGTGTCTAAAAAAAGATCCACAAATGGCCAATAACTATATGAAAATAATGCACTACATTATCTTTGTTTTCTTAAGAAGAGGTCTTGCTAAAGCCCAAGCTGGCCTTGAACTTGTGGGGAGCCTCCTGCCACAGCCTTTGCAGTACTGAGATTAAGGGTGTGTGCCACTATGCCTGGCCCAACAGTTTTCTAAAATTGTGGCTAGTGACCTCACAAATCTGTAATATACTAAGAACAAATGGGTTATACACTTTGAATGGTAAAGAGTATGGTATGACAGCTGTATCTCAATAGCATCTTTTTCAAAAAGTGATTAGCAGCTAGGCATGGTAGCGCAGGCCTGTAATCCCAGCACCAAGGAGGCTGAGGCTGGAGGATCACTGTCCAGGCCAGTCTGGGCTGTACAGTGAATGAGACACTGTCTCAAAAAACAAACAAACAAACAAACAAACAAACAAAAACGATTGGCTCTTTCTACCAGCCAGCCAAGATGCCCCACGGGAAGAAGGTGTGGCTACACCCATTGCTGTGAAGAAGCACAAGGCCAAGAAGGTGGTAAATCTCTTGTCCAACAACTGCCCAAAGACCTCTGGCACTAGACAGGTCGTCCAGCCCAAGAGGGTCGTCCCCTGCTTTGTCAGAAGGCCCAATGGGAAAAGTCTCCTCCATCTGAGTGGCTTAAGGGGGTTCCTGGGATAGAACAGGGCTCTGGGTCTGGACCCAACACTACCACTGCTTGAGCTCCCCCATGTGCACAAACCACCTTAAATTTTGTTTTTCTGAGCTGGGCCTGGTGGTCCATGCCTATAAACCCAGCATTCATGAGGCTGAGGCAGGAGTTCAAAGCAAGAACTGGGCAATTTATTAGCACTTAAACTGTCTCAAAATAAAAAATGGACTGGGATGTAGTTCAGGGCAAAAGCCCTGAGTTCCAGGACTGCCACCAAAATTGTCTGTCTGTCTGAGTGTGGTGGTGAGCACCTGGAATCCCAGCACTGGGAAGCAGAGACAAGATTGCTATGCATTCAAGTCCAGGCTAGACTATATAATGAGCTCAGGGCTAGCCTACTACATGGTGAGACCCTCCCTCAAAAAAAGGAAAAAATTTCTCTGGTTTCATCTGATGTTCTGGTGGGATTAACTCAAAAAAATTTTATTATTTTTTTAATGTGTGTGTGTGTGTGTGTGTGTGTGTGTGTGTGTGTGGCCAGCTCAGCCCACCAGGGGGCGGGGCTGGCTGGCATGTGGTGCTGGGGGATTGAACCGCGGTCCCTGTGCTTTGCCAAGCTTGTTTCAAGTAGGTGCTTTAGACCACTGAGCCATCTCTCCAGCCCCTCAAAAAAATTTTAAAGAATGAAATTTTTTTTTTTTCCAGAACGGGAGATTGAACTCAGGCCCTTGCACTTATTCTACTGAGCCATCTCCCCGGCCCACCCAAAAAAATTTAAAGACTGAAAATTTTTTATGTATTTTGTTAGTTTTTCCCATTCTTGTGAAGAAAAGAATTTTTTAGCATTATTGGGAATTGAACCCAAGGTCTTTGTACTAAACTACATCCCCAGCCCTTTTTCTTTTTCTTTTTAAATATGTGATCTTCCTGTCTCACCCTTCACAGGCTAGGATCATGGGTGTTCACCATCACGCCCAGTTTCATGTGGGCTTAGTGATGATGTTTAAGCAAAGGACGTTGATGGCTTGGCTCTTTACCCAGGAAGGAAAAGACTTCCCTCCTTTTATCAAGGAAACAGCATGGGTAAGTGGGGTTTCCATAGAGCAGTGATGGTGAACCTTGTATTAGAGACCAGTGCCCAGACGGCACCCCTTTTGTCCTAAAATAAAAATAATACACATATTGCTACCAATTCTATGGAGTGTATTTTCTGGACCCAGTTGTCAGCTGACATGCTCATTTACTCCGTACTTGCCAGGGTCTTATAAATGTACCTATCTGTCTGTCAGAATACAGTGCCACATAGATCTAGATTATTTTTAAACTTTATTTGTTTTGTACTTTTTTGGTGTTTTGTCATTCTATGGTCCGGGCTGGCCTTGAATTTCCTTGAGCCTGTGACCTCACCTTCTCGGATGACAGGCAGGCTCCACCATGCCCAGCCTTCAAAGATTCGGTTTACAACAGCGAACCAAATAAAGCAGTCACGACTTTCAAAAGAATCCTTATTCACGGAAGTACTGGCCAATTTCAGGAATCTCCAAAAAAAGTTTATGTTACACTTTAACCATTCCATGCTCTCTTACCTTGTTTCAAGTCTTTTGTACAATATACTGTTATCTGTTCTCAACACAAAAACTGCATGAAACCACCGTTCAGGAAAGAAATCACAACCATGGTAATCAACAATAACTCCGCCTTCTGTCATGTGGTTCTCTAACTCATCAACTACCTGTTAACAGAAGTTAAAAAAGAAAAAAAAAAATGAATGTTCTCTAAGAAAACTGAAGTCAACATTCCAATTAAATTAACAAATGAAGAAATAAATTCAACAAAATGCTTACTTTATGCAAAGTCACACTTACTTTTTCTTCATCTAAAATGGGACAGTCATACTCTTCATCAAAGCCACTATATAATGCCCCTGAAAGAGATTTATATTAGCTCATTAAAATTGTGCTTTCTAAGTAACTTTCACTAAGTTTCCATTCATTTTAGACTGCAGGAAATATATCACCAATCATTTTTTGAGATTTTTTCAGTGAAAAAAGTAGAACTAATAACAGATATAGAAATACAGATATGAGGGCCGGGGGGATGGCTCAGTGCAATAAGTGCTTCCCTGGCAAGTGTAAGGGCCTGAGTTCAATCCCCGGTTCCACCAAAAATAAAGAAATACAGATATGAGACAGAAGCCTGATGTCTCGAGGGAGCAAAGAGCAATAAACAGAGCCCAAGGAGAACTGTTATCTCTCTTGTAAATTCCGGCAAGCTTCTCCTGCTGGCGCCCTATCTGTTCTCTGATCCCTTGCTTGGGATGTTAACGGCTTGCGCTGTATAAACTTAGAGTTAGGTAAATGCTTAAAAGCAATAGAGAGTAGTTTATGTTCACAAAAGTAGTTATGCACATTCCTTAGTCTGCCTTTAGCCCTCAATAAATGTGAGATGTTTCTGTGGCTCTGAGCTCACTTAGGGACTAATCTTGGGCTGGTGAGAGCTCAGTGGACTACAGCGCCTGCTTAGGCAAGAGGAGGACCGAGGTTCAGTCCCCAGCACTATATGCCATGCCAGCCCTGCCCCCAGGGCAGGCTGAGCCAGCCAGAGTCCCATTGTAGTGGTGCATGCTTGTAATCCCAGTGCTGGGGAGCCTGAAAGCAAGAGGATCACCACAAGTCAGAGCGGCATAGTGAGACCCTGTAATGACCAAATACATTAAAAGAAAAGAAAAATAAGAGGCTGGGGATATAGCTCAGTGGCGTAAGCCCCTGCCTGGCAAGTTCAAGGTCCTGAGTCTGATCCGTGGTACTGCCAAAAAGAGAGAGAGAGAGAGAGAGAGAGAGAGAGAGAGAGAGAGAGAGAGAGACTGACTAATTTCAGTGAGACCTCTGAAGCTATATTAATCGGGTCTTCTCATCATTTCTTTTGGCTCCAACTGATAACTACAACAGATATTACATGGACAGCAAATGTAAAAAATAATACAAAAAATGTCTAAATCAGTGTGGTGGTACACGCCTCTAGTCCCAGCACTCAGGAGGCTGAGGCAGGAGGATTGTTGTGAATTCAAGGCCAACCTGGGCTACAAGGTAGGTTCAGGGCCAGTCTGAACTGCATAGTGAGACCCTGTATCAAAAAGATAAATAAGGGGGGGGGCAGGGATATAGCTCAGTGGCACAAGCAACTGCCTGGCAAGCACAAAGTCCCGAGTTCAATCCCCAGTACCACAAAAGAAAAAAGACAATAAGAATAATAACAACAACGATGATGATGATGATATCTGGGAAACCTGGGTAGCAATAGAGCTGAAACTTCTTTGTGATAGTGCAATGAAACTCATGCCCCAAATTTCAAGGCCCAATCCAAAAATAGGCATCGGGCTGGGGAGATGCCTGAGTTCAACCCCCGGTTCAGCAAAACAAAAACAAAAAAACCACAAATGAATACACAATTCTCAGATGAAGTACAAGCAGTAAATAAATACATGACAATGTTCAACATCACTTGTCATTTGAGAGATACAAATATAAAACAATACTGAGATTCCATCTCACCCCAGAAGGAATGGTTATCATCAAGAAATCAACCAATGACAAATACAGGAGAGGCTGTGGGGAAAAAGGAATCCTTCTTCGCTGTTGGTGGGAGTGTAGACTACTGTAACCACCATGAAAATCAATGTAGAGACTCCTCAGCAACCTAGGGCTAGAGGTCCCATTTGACCCAGCAGTTCCCCTCCTTGGTACCTCCCCCCCCAAAAAAAAATTGAAAGCATCATACCACAATGATATCCACATTTATAGCCGCACAGTTTGTAAGAGCCAGATCTTCTAAGCACCCTAAGTTCCCATCAAATGATGAATGGATAAAAATGTGATGTTTTTATACAATGGAGTACTCCTTGGCCATAAAGAGGGTTAAGCTTGAGACATTTCTAGCTAAATGGATGCACCTTGAAATCATTATAAGTGAAGTAAATCTGACAAACATGTTTAAATGCTCCACTGTTTCCTCGTATGTGAAACCAAAAGTGTAAAAAAGACCAAAATGTATGATAGTGTCTTAGTTACTCTTCTCTCGTTGCTGGGACAAATACCCGACACTCAAAATGAAGGAAGGAAAGGTTTA